GAAGCTCGAAGAGGTGTTTCCTTATTGGTTGAAAGACTGAGATAGAAAAGTTTTAGTGGCGCTTTGGCCGGCGGAAAAATTACGAAGTAAGGATATGGAAAATATAGCTTTTGAATGTAATCTGTAATCAGTAGCATGAACACATCGTATTCTAATATTGTCTAGGTAAATCAGTAGGCAAACATTTTTTATATGAAATTAACATAGGAGACTATAATATTATACCTATACTAGACTATATAATATTTCACCATCTGAAAAAAACTCAATTTATATATATATATATATATATATATATATATATATATATATATAGCGACCATCCATTAATTGAAACTATTTGATATATATGTATATATATATATATATATATATATATATATATATGTTTAATTTGAGTTTAATATTCGGGCGTAACATCAATAAAAATAGTTTTTTATTGATGTTACCATTTTTATTGATGTTACGTCCGAATATTAAACTCAAATTAAACATATATATCAACATCAAATTCAAGACTATTCAAAAAAAAAAAAATATATATATATATATATATATATAGAATTTTATGATATGAGTGGAACGAATATTAATTGTTTAATATGAACAAAACAGCACTCAGATTTTTTTATCACAACTTTATTTTATTATTACAAACGTTTCGAGACTAAGGTGTGCCTCATCATCAGTGTAATTTCAATAACAGTTATTTATTACTAAACATTCTTTTTAATATTTTATTTAAAACTTTAAACTTTATATTAAAAAGTCCAAATTTAGTTTTAAATAAAATATTAAAAAGAATGTTTAGTAATAAATAACTGTTATTGTAATTACACTGATGATGAGGCACACCTTAGTCTCGAAACGTTTGTAATAATAAAATAAAGTTGTGATAAAAAAATCTGAGTGCTGTTTTGTTCATATTAAACAATTAATATATATATATATATATATATATATATATATATATATATATAATGCGAGAGGTTTTTCTTCAGATCCTGAAATAATATAATGAAATTGTTTCTTGGGCATCCATCCAGTAATTAAAAAACAGTTTTAATGAAAAATGTTTTTATTTTAAGAACATACGTTTCGGGTCTTGATTTGACCCATCTTCAGTGCTTTAATTAAATAATTCAGGGTTACAAATTAAAACAATATAAAAAATACATAACAACCAAAAATAAGTAAAACAATGTATATGAAAAGTATATATGAAAAACAACGGTAAAATAAACAAATGTAAAGAAACTCACCATACAAATAAATTTTGAAAAACAACACAAAGACACAAAATTGCACGAAAAAATAAATAAATGTGAAATAAAAAATTGATGAAACGTCGAGTTATGAAAAATTTAAAAAAATGTGAAATTAAAATAAATGATATATTTTATTATAAAGAAGCTTATTCCAAACAAACATGTTGTTAGTTTGGAAATTGTATTACGAGTGTGTACGAGAGTAAAATGTGTGCGTAAGTGTTTGCGGAAAATAGTGGAAACTGTATCGTCATTGGTGAGAGAACGGGATAGAGAGAATTTTAGTGGTTTCATATTAGGAAGATTTTCTCAACGATCATGCGCAGTAGGAACATAGTAAAAATATATACATGTGTAAGACATCCATAATCAAATCCAAAAAATGTGAATGAAGAGAAAATTATTAAGAAAAAGTATAGATACTAACAGAAAAACGATAATAGTTATGGAACGATAATAGTTACAATAAAAAATTAATATAACATATATATGTATATATAAACGCAAAACAATAAATGCATATATGTATACACATACACATACACATATATGTAAACACATGCAACACATATAAATGTACAAAATATATGCAAACACATATATACATACATATATACACATATGTTTTCTTAATAAAACTTAAATTAAGAAACGTATGTTTTCTTAATAAAACATTTCTTTCAATAAAACTGTTTTTAATTACTGGGTGGATGCCCAAGAACAATTTTATCATATTATTTCACCAACTGAAGAAAAACCTCTCGCTTATATATATATATATATATATATATATATATATATATATATATATATATATATATTCATCCAGATATAGAGATAAGGCATTCATCCACATATAGAGATAAAAAAAACTATATTTTGTTTCTTAAGGAAAATTTTATGAGTACCAATTTGATTCTTCTTCATTGGCTATACAACTACAAAAGTTACAAAAGAAAAATATTCGAGTTTAACATAACACAAGTATAAAATACAAAAAGAAAAATCTGACATATGTACAAAAGTCTGCCTTTCGCTTTAGGACCTAATTTTTCAGTTCCTGTTAACTACCGTAATTTTAACTTTATTAAATTGCTCAGTAACTTAGAATATGGTTTACAACAAACCAAGGATCCGAAAACTAAAATTCACACCAGAAATCTTTTTTGTAAAAAAATCATCTCACAAATTACTTCCTTTAATACCAAAAATACAAACCACGATAATATTTTTAGAGACCTAGAGGATTGCAAAAGATTTCTCAAAAATCGTCCGGATACAGCGGATAAAGGCAACATCACTGTTATCATAGACAAACAAGACTATATAAATAAAATATCTAAAACTATATAAATTGACACTAACACTTACAAAATTACCAATAATGATCCAACTGACTACATAAATCGTACGTGCCATAAATATTTAGACAAAATTACAGCAAACAAACAACTAGCTAAAGAGACAACTTCTGACCTAAAAAACTTACACCCATATTTTCCCAGACTTTACGGCTATCCAAAATCCACAAAAATAATTTGCCTTTTAGACCAATAGTTTCAGACATTAATACCCCTCTATTTAAACTCTCAAAATACAAAAGTAACATTATAACTACAATAACAAAACTATCACCACACTACATAAAAAAATCTTATAAACTCGTTACTGACTTAAAACTCAAGATAAATTATATACCGGACAACTACAAACTAATTAGCTTAGACATAGTTTCACTTTTTACTAATGTACCAGAACCTTATTTTAGATGCTGTAACGACCCGATGAGATGAAATTTTGCCTTTGACTTCTTTATCTCTGGTTCAGATAAACCGTCAAGTTCATTGTCTCAAACACTTATTTTGAATTCAATGGTTCTTTCTATTATCAAATTTTTGGGGCGCCAATGGGGTCCCCAGCAAGTCCATCTCTAGCAGGAATATCTTTACAACTTCAAGAAAATACAATTTTTACAAATTACAATAAACATATTTTTTATTACCTTTGTGTAGATGACATTATCACGTGTGTCCCTATAATAATTGATCAATTTAATAACGTCAATACAAAATTAAAATTTACAGTGGAATTGGAGATTAGACAAAACTTATAACAAACTAATAACAAATTGGTATCAAAAACCAACTAACTCAGGCCATTACCTAAACTATTTTTCTTATCATCCACTCAAAATGAAAAATAGGTACTATAATAAATCTGACACACACAATACTTCTATCGGACTAAACATTTTGTGACAACAACATAAATTTAGTTACAAAAATTCTAACAGATAACTTCTATCCCTTAAAACTTGTAAACTCCGTAACTAGTAACAGACGCACATACCTTTAGAATAAAATTGACATTTTCCACAATAAATAAAGATTTACCTGACTCAGAGATTCACTCTGGTGTAATATGTTTGCCATACATTAAAGAATTGTATCTTCCTTGGAAAAAACTTTATTATAAATCTGGACTCCGACTTGTAAACAATTTTAGTACAATGACTAGTACTATTTTTACCAAATCAAAAACCCCTTTCGATATTAAATGACTTAGAAATCTCGACTGTCAAATAAATTACTAGACTGTTATCTGATTTACATATGAGAAACAAGCCAGAACTTAATTGAACGTTTACAGCAACATAATAATTCAAAAAATCCCAGACAATTTAAAACTATGCTTGCGAACCACATTAATACTTTAAAACACAATATAGACTTTTCTAACCCGACTGTACTACAGTTCGAACAAAATTTATTCAAACGAAGAATTACAGAGGTTCTTTTTTAACTATTTACAATAATAAGACGGGATGAACTTAACACGCTGTGTGATACAAATCTCTTTTATTTAGATAGCAAATTTGGAATTTCTCAGAAAACAATAAAAAGGTCGCGCAAAGTATTCGCAATTCATTCCACACATGTGTAGAATCTTGGTAAAAATATTTTTAAAAAGTCCTTTTTCCATGATATCTTCAACCAGACTATGAACAATACATATATTACACACTACCTATTTGTGATTTTTTTAAATTAGTATTTTGTAAAATATTGTTTAATTACAAGTTTAATTTTTATATTACATTATTATTAAAATCTTCTAATTTAACACTAAGATTAACTAATGTAAGTACTATTTACTCTTTTTATATTTTTTTTCTTTTCACTCCAATTCAATTGTTTTAGTTTTAATTTTATTTTTAGTTTCCTCTGAATAAAGACTATACAAGAATTATATCCGAAACATAGTTGATGTTATGCCCGATTACTAGACTTTGTTCGAAATCAAATTCAGAATTATACAATCTCAATAATCCTCTAAAAAATGTTGATTTAAATTACACTCGAAGTATGTTTCCAAATGAATTTGCCCTACCACGACATTATATATCTTCTGCATCTGCATTAAATTATATATCTTTAGTATTATTGAAATTCTAATAATATAAACATATCGAATAAAGATAGACCTTTAGTTTGCCTTCTAAAAATTTACATACTTAAAGGTATCATCAACACAGCTCATAGGGCATATAATATTGAAAAAAGAGAAAACAATACTACACTCTAATGCTGTTTTGTGTTATGAGTTTAATTCTTGAATGTGAGATATATTGTTCGTACAGTTGAAGCAATATTAATAATGATTATGTATTTAATTATTCATATCACAAACGAGATTCTAAAACCTAAATAACTAATCCACTAATTCACTCACCTATATTCGGTGTAAGTTTCCCATGTGGCATCAATTGATCTCCAGAAGAACCAGAATCTGTACCCGGTTCTGATTTAGAAGGCTCTTTCAGTGATGAAGGCACCACATTACCTTGCGATACTTTAGTTGCAGTCACAGATTTCTCTAAACCTGTCTTTTGAACTATACTTTTACTTGGCGGCTTGATTCCAGATGGCTTTAAACTTGGTTTATTTTTTTCACTCATTTTGATGGCAGTAATACGTTGGCATCGATTAATTTCAGTTTAAGCTGGTTGAGTTTATCTATTATAATATAAACTTTTAATTCAGCAACTTATTTTAATAAATAAAGTAAAAAAGGAATTAAACACTATGTTCACAACCTCTCACAAGAAATAATTAAGAATACTCGAATCACTGTAATTTACATATTAACACTTAAATATCAATTTTTAAATAAATATAAATTTTCAACTATTAATTTTTATACAGATTCAATGATTAATTTTTTGTAAACCTTATGAAATAAGTTAAAAATGTTTTCTATTCTGCAAAAATTTTAAATAAAAAACATAGTTTGATTTATCATTAGATAATCTTTTCAAGTAAGTATAAGTTATTGCTTAAGAAAAAAAAATGAAATAAAATTACAAAAAAAAGACTGGACATTGAATATAAAACCATGTATATGCATCAAGCAACAGGTTGTATTTCAAAAGTACCAAAAAAACATATTTAAAAAAATTGACATAAGTGCACAATACAGCAAATAAATGGTGGATTTCCAAAAAATGTTAATGGGCAAATCAAATTTAATAGTCAATTTTCATTAAACATCTAAATTAGTTCAATTTTGTGTACATGCAAATACCTCAAAAAGATTCAATTTTAATTTTAGATTTCCACTGTATACTTTATAAATAAACAGTGTGTTTTTTGTTTTTAACAATATCATTAGAAATTAGTTTCGCAATAATTTCTAGGTTATGATCTACTTTTTTATTGTTTAAATTATTTTTTGATATCTATATGTTAAACACTAAAATTCAACTAAATTGTGTCATTCATCGCAAGTAATTAAATTTAAGATATATTTAATTCTTCAATTTTAATGTGCAAATTTAATGACATATAAGCAACCTGTGAGAATTTAACGATAAAGATGAACGTGATCTAATTATGTAAAAATAGAATTGATACACGCTCTTGGCCGACATTTGATGAACCTTAAATTAGCTTGGACGAATGTCACATTGAATGTGACGATGCGCAAAATTATTAAAAAATCCAATTCAAACATTTTTATACTCACTTAGAAATTTAACTACACAAAAAGAGCACTGACATTATTTTAATAATAAAAATCACTTCTTCCGAATTTCGTAGTCTATACAACATTAATCAAACACTACCATTAAAATTCACACACTTGTAACTTTAAAGCCGCGATCATGTTTTGTTTAAAAAGTAATAAATACATAAACAGTAGTAACAAAAACAGAAATCAATCCAACCTTCTCTAATTTAAATCTACGACAAATGTATGTATATGTATATAGCCAAACATGTGTCAGTATCGCCAAAATGTCAAAATTCACGTCGTTGCCGTAGCATGGATGCAGAACCTATGTTAACGCGCACTGTGTTCACCTGTACGCTGTACGGCTGTACCCCTGAACGTAGGCCTGAACGGTTATAATGCTACTGCCATAGATGAAAATTAAGCCTTTCCAGTTTTATATGGATAATTTTATTATCCTATTTTGATATTTGAATATATATTTGTTAAATAATAATTCCTAACATATATTTTAATAAATATTCAATTTACTATAAATTGGCTATAAATATTCAAATAGAAACTTATGAACTTTACATATGTCCAAAACACTCAGTATTCAATATTCTGGTATATAATTTGTAAAATGGAGCCTATTAGGATGTGGGTATCATTACGAAATGAAGACTTTTCTTCATTTTATTATTATTATTAAAATTAGCTCAGACAGATAGAGGCAAAATCATGTGGCAAAATTATAGACAAATCAATAGATCAACATTAATATACTTACAATTATCACCAAATGCTTTTGTAGTAAAAACCAACCTCTCTTGCACAATATGCTTACAATTATCACCAAATGCTTTTGTAGTAAATCACCAAATTACCAAATGCTTACAATTATCGCCAAATACTTTTTTAGTAAAAACCAATCTCTCATGTACAATATTTGAGTGCCTACCGCCTACTAGCGTAGATAAATAAGTACTAGAAACATGAAGATAGTTACTGATAATGATAAATAGAGCAAACATAATAAAACAATACAACTTTAATATCAATATGAAATTAATGAATGAAACCAAATAAATAAATAAGTAAAATGTAATAATCTAAGTTGCGCAATGAGAATTCAACATGTTTTAAATTCTGTTCACAGTCTCTGTCTCTATAATCTTTGCATTAAATTGCGACGATTTTTTTATGACCGCCAAATTTAACTTGCGCATTACAAAATTCATTAGCTTTAGTATATTTAAGATTTCATATTTAAACATGAATTGATTTATAATATTTGATACAATTCAGTCAAAATAATTTACTATCATCATTAAGGTAAAAATAATAACATTATTAAATTACGATTGCATTTATGCTTATTTATCTATGGCATACACCAAATAAAGTTGTGTATAATATACAAAATGATATTATGTAATAAAATACAATTGAACTAATTAAATAACTGTAAAAAATATAATTAAATAACAATTTAACGCGGTTAAATAATGTATGTAAATATATGTGTCTAGACATAATGTAAACTCATTTTTTGATTTTAACAATTTACGCGCTTCAAAAATTTGAGACCGTTAATCCGTTCGAGATGCGTAACGGATTAGATTTATTTTTAACGACTCCTCTTCGATAGATGACAACTATTACAAATGCGGCATGTATTTTGCAAAGAGGTTATCTTGATATGGTGTGATTTTGGGATTGAGCACATCACACGTAAGATCGCTATTTTTTGACGATTGTGCAAAATCTTCAATATGGATCGAAAAGGTACTTTTAAAGTCGAATATTTACAACAAATTGAACGAAAAATTCAGGAGAAATGGGAGCAAGAGAAAGTTTATGAAACAGATGCTCCCGAAGAGCCGAGAAATAGTCCGACAGAAAAATTCTTTTGCACTTTTCCTTTTCCATACATGAATGGGCGACTGCACTTGGGTCACACATTTTCATTGTCGAAATGCGAGTTTGCCGTTCGTTATAATAGATTGAAAGGTAAAAGGGTACTTTTCCCATTTGGCTTTCATTGCACAGGAATGCCAATAAAGGCTTGTGCAGACAAGTTGAAGTTTGAAATGACCGAATTTGGCTATCCTCCGGTTTTTCCGCAGACTGTAGAAGTTAAAGAAGAAATTGTTGATATAACAATAAAAGATAAAAGTAAAGGTAAGAAGAGTAAAGCTGTTTCGAAAGCAGGTTCATCAAAATGGCAATGGCAAATCATGCAATCGCTTGGATTATCTCACGAAGAAATAAAACTGTTTGCAAATCCTGAACATTGGTTGGATTATTTTCCACCTCTGGCGGTGCAGGATTTACGCAGTATTGGTTTACATGTTGATTGGCGTAGAACATTCATTACAACTGATGTTAATCCTTATTTCGATCAATTTGTTAGGTGGCAGTTTCTGCATCTTAAGGAGAGAGGAAAAGTTCTTTATGGTAAAAGATATACGGTTTACTCTGTCTTGGACGGCCAACCTTGTATGGATCACGATAGAAGTTCAGGTGAAGGAGTCGGTCCTCAGGAGTTCACTTTAATTAAAATGAAAGTTATAGATACACCAAACATATTTAAATCATTTAGTTCTAAGCAAATATTTTTTGTTGCTGCTACTCTAAGACCTGAAACTATGTATGGCCAAACTAATTGTTGGCTACATCCGGACATAAATTATGTGTTAGTTGAATCAAAAAGTGGTGCTTTATATATTTGTTCAAAGAGATCTGCTAAAAATATGGCTTATCAAGAAATGTTGAAACAGAATAATGTTGTTGAGGTTCTTGGTGAATTTAAAGGTCAAGAATTATTGGGAATAGGTCTTAAAGCTCCATTAACAAGTTTTGATATAATTTATACATTACCAATGCTTACTATTCGCGAAGATAAAGGCACTGGTGTTGTAACATCTGTTCCTTCAGATAGCCCAGATGATTATGCTGCCTTAATGGATTTAAAGAATAAGCCTGCTTTTCGAGCAAAATACAACGTTTTAGATCATATGGTTCTACCTTATGGCCCCGTACCCATAATAACTGTACCGGATTTTGGAAATTTAAGTGCCGTGACTGTATGTGAGAAGTTAAAAATTCAAAGCCAAAATGACAAAGTTAAATTACTAGAAGCTAAAGAACTTGTATATTTGAAAGGTTTTTATGATGGTATTTTAGAAGTAGGGGAATATAAAGGACAAAAAATACAGGATGTAAAAAAGAATATTCAAGCTAAAATAATTGAAAATGGAGATGCAGTAATATATTATGAGCCTGAAAAGCCTATAATCTCACGATCAGGAGACGAATGCGTGATTGCCCTTTGCGATCAATGGTATTTAGATTATGGTGAAAAATGTTGGAAAGCACAGGCACATGAAGCTCTTGCTAATATTAATACATATCATGATGAAGTAAAAAAGAATTTCACATTTTGTTTAAATTGGCTGCATGAATATGCTTGTTCAAGGACTTATGGTTTAGGCACTAAGCTACCATGGGATGAACAATGGCTCATTGAATCACTTTCTGACTCAACAATTTATATGGCCTTTTATACTGTTGTTCATCTGTTGCAAGGTGGCTCTTTCAAAGGAGAGACTCCAAGTCCTCTAAATATATTAGCAGAACAGATGACATCTGAAGTTTGGGATTACATTTTCTTTTCAGAGGCTCCAATTCCTCAAAATACTACGATTCCACTTGTACATTTGCAAAAATTAAGAAGGGAATTTCAATATTGGTATCCAGTTGACTTGAGAGTTTCTGGTAAAGATCTCATTCAGAATCATTTAACATTTTTCATTTTTAACCATTGTGCTATGTGGCCAAACAATCCTGAATTATGGCCACAGGGAATTCGTGCAAATGGTCATTTGCTGCTCAACTCTGCAAAGATGTCCAAATCCGAAGGTAATTTTTTGACATTATCAGAAGCTGTTCAAAAATTCAGTGCTGATGGATTGAGATTGTGCCTTGCAGATTCTGGAGATTCTATTGAAGATGCCAATTTTGTTGAAGCTACAGCTGATGCTGGAATTTTAAGATTATTTACGTTTATCGAATGGGTTAAAGAAATAAAAGCTAACTTAAATTCTTTGAGGTTTGGGTCAACAAATTCTTTTCATGATAAAGTTTTCATTAGTGAAATGAATTTAAAAATCAAAGAAACTGATATGTATTATAAGAAAATGCTATATAAAGAAGCATTAAGAACAGGTTTTTATGAACTGCAAGCAGCTCGTGATAAATATAGGGAAATGACTATGTATGAAGGTGGAATGCATAAAGATCTTGTACTTCGCTTCATTGAAGTTCAAGTATTAATCATTAGCCCAATATGTCCTCATGTATCAGAGCATGTTTGGAATTTATTGGATAAACCAAGCACCATTCTTGATTCTAATTGGCCTGAAGCTGGTGAAGTCGATGAAGTTATTCTAAATGCATCTTCCTATTTGATGGAGTGTGCACATTCATTCCGAATGTTTTATAAGAACCATAATATAGCATCTGCAAAATCCAAAAGTAAAGACAATGTAGTAAATGCTCATAAAAAACCAAATGAAGGAATTATTTGGATTGCTAAATCTTTCCCGCCATGGCAACATGCTGTATTGTCAACCTTAAATGAAATGTATCAAAAGAAACAAGAACTTCCAGATAATAAAACAATATCTGTAGCTCTCGGGTCTATTGACATTCTTAAAAAACATATGAAAAAAGTAATGCCTTTTGTGCAAATGGTAAAAGAGAAAGTTGAAAAGAAAGGATCAGCAGCGCTGAATGTAACTAGTGATTTTGATGAGTTTAATGTTCTAAATGGAGCACATGATTATTTGTGTAACACACTTGATTTGGAACATATAGACATAAAATATACTGATGATGATCTGTGCCCAGAGAAAACAAAAGAGGAGTGTTGCCCTGGTGCACCATATATGTCATTTAATTCAAAACCAGGAGTTATGATGTCAATTGTAAATCCTGTTCAAGGATCTGGCTATTTCACTTGCAACATCTTAATAAAACATGGAGATACTGTACAAAAGGTTTTAGATAGAATACATAGACTTGAGAACATCAAGACAAAAATTGATCTGTGGATGTTCAAGGACCCATTGGTGGGTAGTAGAAAACTACCATCAATAGATAATATTAAGCAAGACAAAGAGAAATTATCATCCACTGACATCTTTGATGTTGATTGTGACAAAAATGAAGTGTATATAAAAAAAGGAGATACGAGAATTTTTGTGGGATCCCATTTGTCATATATGTAAATTATTCACATTGTTAAATTAATTAATTGAATACATGAAGGTTTAAACCTTTTTATAAAAATATGAATATTTATTAAAATGTTTTAACTTGCACTGGTATGTTCAAAGTTAAAAATATATGAGTTTGTTTTCTTTATGTTTATTTACAATCACTTATGAAAAAAAATCACTTAAATAATTAGAATCATATTAAAATAAAAAAAGGGGAATTATAGACTTAAATATCACACACAAAAGCACTGTGATGTAATTGAACTAAAATAATTCTTCAAAGTTGTTTGTGCTTAAGTTAAGTAAATATCAATTACCAAAATTATGAAAGATGATCAAATAAATTAAATCATTTGGCGAAAAATTTTACTTAACATTTTTTTTACTGAATGTTCTGATATATATAAAGTGCAATCAAATTGGTATGTCATATTATAGACAACTCTTTTTTGTTTTCTTTAGTGATAAACCTATAATTTATTTGATATTAAAAATATAACTCAGATTTATCATAGTTTTATGAAGCTGCAATTACGATTTCCTCAAATGCCTGTTCTAGACAGTGTTTGAGTTCACCGTAAGTAACTACTAGTACACTTTGTTCATCTCTAGACATCAGCTGTATCTACAATTAAAATAAATTTTATTATTTATATGCTTAATTTTTTATTTATTAAATTAATTTATAGTAATTGAATTATTATTATGAAATTCTAATATATATAAAGCTGATGTCGGATTAAATAATTGCAACTTATGCTGATTTACCTTCTCATTAACTCCACTATCAAGTTTATTCAGACAGCTCACTATGTGAGCTTGATCAATCCAAGGTCTGCCATCATCAGTTACAGAATGAAATAAAAAATCTCGAAATAATTTAAGCATATATCTATCTCCAGTTTCAGACCATGTAGTATCCATTTGAAGCCTATAAATTGAGTGATTTTAGATATTTACTTCTATACACACACTGGTCTGTTCTCCAATTATGTTAATACTACCCCAATTTTTGTCAGATTCGATCTAACTATGCATTTCCAATATTAATTAGACAATATGAGGAGTATATACTTTTAATTAAATCTTAATTAAATTATTTAAGTAGAAAAACTTTTTGAACATAGTGTATTTGATAATAATCTCTCAAATGTCATTGCTTGCTTTAGTTTATTTATCACTTCACTAAATGTTTAGTTAATTCAATTGATCTATAAACCAATTAAATCAGCATTAATTTGATTCAAAATTAAAATTTGTAAAGTCAATAGAAGATTTGATAATGCAAACATTTGGTCTAACACAAACTCTAAAAAACTTAGGTTTTTCTACTAATTCATTTTTCTGCATTCATAATTTTTCATTTTTTAAAAAATTAATTCAAAAATTCTTTCCTTTTAAAAAAAAAAAAGGAAAAAAAAGTCACCAATACACACCAAATTGTATTTTTTAATACTTAACTAACTATCAAGTTATAACACTTACTCAGGTCTTTCATTAATAGTTCCTAATTTGACTAAAAGTCGATATAATCTTCCATTTTCCATTTCTCGTGCCAAATGATCTTCCAATACATCTGAGCGAGCTTGTAATGCGTCCAGTTGAGTATAGAAGCGTGCGCCAATCATTGGCATTAAATCAGTTACTGTACGTCTCTGTTGTTGTGATAAAAGATATCTATATCAAAAATATTAAGTTATTAAGAGAATCATAAGTTTGCATTCATAATGCTTTTTATTTCTGAAACTTGACGAATTCCATTTCACAGCGAGGAACTTTACAAAATATTGAAAGTTTAAACTTTTTTCAACTAGGATGAGGTGAAACATATATATATATATATATATATATATATATATATATATAATACTAAATAAACATTTATATATTTATATATAAAATGTTCACATACATTTAAAAAATAACATACATGATGAGATTCCGCAGATCATTGGAGTAAATGCGAGAAATAATTTCAACACTATTCTGTATCTGATCAACTTGAACAGCTGATAACGAACCCCGAGCCAATGCCAAAACCAACTTTCCGAGAGCCGTTAAATCATCCTGCTGATAATGGTTGATCAATGCCATATTATTTGTATTGCTAGCATCAAATGACAATATGTCTGAAATACCGAGAAAGCTAAGCCTCACTCGCTTGCCACACACTATTATTTTTGTTGGATCTAATGTCCTAAAAAGAAAACAAAATAAATATGTTAATACAGGTATATGAATTGAAATGATAAAAATTTAATTACTGAAACAGAAATAATTATTGAGATGATAAAAAGTGAAGTAGAAAATTCCATTTAGATATAAGAAATTATAAATGATAAAAATTGCAACACTTGAGAGTGCTCTACTAGAATGTGATTGCAGTAAAGTCGAAAAAAAAAGGTTTTTGATTATGTTTAATATAAAACTGCAATTGCGAATACTTATTGCACCTGCAAGCAAGATTGGCGCTGTGTATTATACGAAGCGCAGCAGTAAGCTGCATAACTATGGCCCAAATCTCAGTTTCAGGTAGCATCAAATGGCCGGAAGCAGCAGCCTGCGCCGCAGCGGCCTGCGCCCGTAACGCTTCTCGAGACTTATGAGAGTACGGACGAGCATCTCCAGGCGGAAAGGGGTCCGTGTAACTACCACTCTGCTCACCAAGGGGTGGCATAGATGGAAAATATTTACTCAGCAATGTTTGGGCGTTAGTATGGTAGTCATACACGAATAACATAGCTGAAAGTTGAAATTAGTAGTATTTTGGCTAGAATCATCAGCACCCATATCTACATCAAAATCAAAATTTGAATAATAATAATTATGATACTTTTGTTTACATTTATAAAAAATTAAGCTTTTCCAGTTTTGTATGGATAGTTATTATTATAATTATTATCCTATTTTAATATCTAAATATATTTTTGTTAAACAACAATTCATATGAAAAAAAAAAGTTATCATTATTCATTGTAACATATAATTTAATAAACATTCCATTTATTAATTTGCTATAAATATTCAAATGGAAACTTATCAACCTTACATATTTTCAAAACACTCAGCATTTAACATTCTAGTATATAATTTGTCAAATGCAGCCTATTAAGATGTGGATGTCATTACAAAATGATCATTTTCTTCATTTTATTATTATTATTAAAATTTACTCAGACTGAAAGAAGCAAAATCATAGACAAATCAATAGATCAACATTAATATACTTACAATTATCACCAAATGCTTTTGTAGTAAAAACCTCTCTTAGTTGCACAATATTTGAGTGCTCAATCTTCTTCCACATATCTACAACAACCATGCATTTTGTACTCGGTAACCTGCAGCCTAGAGAATATAAAAAACTGACATTAATAATAAAATAAATATGAATGATCATTAATATAATAACTGAGAAAGAATAGGTTCAGTAATTAATAGTATATTTTAAACTCTAAATTTGAAGTCATAAATATAAAAAAGTATTTTTTACAAATGATTGAAGAAAAAGTTATGAAAAAAAAGATATTAAATAAGAAAACTGAATAAAACAGATATTAGGTGAGAAAAAATGTATGTATACAAATTCCACAGGTCCCATTTATGATGCAAATTTCTATTCTTACATTAGCTCAAGAAAAGTAACAATTGAAATTTTTCAATTCCCATGGTGATATAGAATAGATACTCAAAACAAGCTCCTTAGAAGGGGCAAACAAATTATCACAAAAATAAATTGAGTAATAGAGTTCATAAACCTTCCTTAATCAATATCAGCTAGAGCAAAATCAGTTTCATCTTACATTAAATTGTTTATTCTCTTTCTATGCGGAATTTCAAATATTTTTCACATAAACAATGTATGAAAATTATAATTACAAACTACTTGTATACATTTGATATTGAAATATATGATATGCTCACCATGTAATCGACGTAAACAGTATCTGACTCCAGTGGTAGTATTTACAGCCCGGTAAGTGGAAGCAGGCATTGACCCTTTGTGCCCAATTAATGATGTTACAGGTGATTCAAGAGGTGTTAGAGAATGATAATTATCAACCTCCATTGGCAAATCTACCATTTAATAGGTTCATTAAATTTTAAACATAAATCTTGTACAAACTAATTTAAGCTCATCTAAGCAATTTAATCATGATTTATAACTATCGCCATATGAATTTTAAAACTTATAATATATAATTTATAAGACCTATTCCAATTAGTCTAAATATCCAGTAATTATACTTACTGCATTCTCCTGCATTGCAAAGTATTTCATCCTGTTGCATTGCTATGAGATCTTGTCTCAGTTCTTCAGGCATAAAAAAAGCTGCTGAGAGTGCTGAGTTGGGACGTATGCTAGCTACATTGGAAGAAGGTCCATTATAAACTGAATAGTTTAACGGGCCAGATCCTTGAGTCCCGCTTACATTTCCCGAATTTGATATATAAGAGTTATTCAACCCATTATAACCTGCTGAACCATTCAAGGGCTCTGCGCCGGCAGAAGCATGGTAAAAATATGTTGTACCACCAACATTTTCCTATAAAAACAAAGAAAATCCACTTGTTATAGATGCATACTTTTTATGCTTTCACATATCTATTTTTGATGCTATGGCTAAATTTGTGGTATATATATATATATATATATATATATATATATATATATATATATAAAATACAATTCATAAAATATTCTCATCCATTCAACCTACAAATTGGAAATTTATCATTATTATTATTTGGTAACATTATACAAAATTCATTTTTATTCTTTGTAATATTTTTTTTGTTTTTTTCATTAAGGATAATGAATGAAATTAAAAAACCTTTTACCTATTTCCAATTTATAACATACTAAGGTTTTGTAAGTTATTTTAAATAAAAGTTTAATGTATACTTTTAAAAATTAATGTATCACATATACAATACCTGATGTACACTTGCTGAGAGTGGTGGAGAAACATCTTGTGGTGAAAGACGTGGAGAAACACCTGCAGTCACATTTCTACCTAGAGGCGAATCACCACGCGGTCCATATGACAATCGACCAGAAAGAGGAGACTCACTACCAGCAGAATATGTAAATAAACTGGAAGACTGCTGACTGCTACTAGACGATACTGATGAAACAATATGCGAGTTTCCAGGAATAAATTCTGGAGACTGAGGTGTAACCTATAAAAGAAATGTTAAAAAAATTAATTTGTGTTCAGCTTAGTTCATACATTAAAAGATTTCAATTTTCAATTGATAATATAAATCATACTAACTTTTTTCACTGGCAGTGGAGATTCCAAATTGACTTTTGACATGGCCTGTGCAAGTCCTTGTGTAGGTGTTGATGTGGAGTGATTCTTGAATATAAATAAAATAATGTTATTGACTACCTATTATCATTATTATCAATAAATGGACATAATATATTAATTACTGATTAATTAGTTTAACAGGGCACAGTTTGCAAATAAAACATTCATTACCATGTATGTAGCCAATTTTGACTCTTGGGGAACACCATTGGACGATGTGTGTGGCAAAAATATGGAATCCATAGTACTATTTCCTAAAATAAATTACATATAAATGATAAAGTTGCATTTAAATATTAATATACTATTTGAATAGCAGGGGATATTATCCTTACAATGATTCAGTTTAACTTATACAAATCTAAGGCATATGATGTAAATTATAATATAATTTACTAAAATATAATTACAACTTTTATTTAATTTTATTCTATTATGATAGAAAACTGCATTGAATTAAATTTGAAAAAGAGTATGATATATTCTACCTTTATAATTAAGACTCACTTTTGGTCAATGATCAGGTAATTCGCCTTTCAAAGGGTATTAAGAACCACAATTCAATAAAAATATTGATATCTCCCTGTTATAATTTTAGTGAAATAGTTCCAAATATATTTGATGTATATTGTAATAAATAATAATATATATTATAATTAGTTAAAAATACTTGCTGTTATTATTCATCTTTCATGTATTCATCACATTCCAGCTATATTTGATGTCGTAGAAGACTCTGAAACAAAATATTTTCACAGTTAAAAAATAATATTATTGAACCATATCCTTGTCTTGATCTTTATTTAAATTTTAACAAAATTGAATGTTCCAGATAAACTCCAAAAATAACATAATGGTGTGAATTTTATTATAAAATGTTACGTACGTAAAATTAGCAATATAGAATTTATCACGCATCACTATATTCACATTTTGCAGAACACATTACTTGGCTGATTTTGTTCATTTCGTGTTAAAAGTACATGGTTCGCATATTATTTAAATACTGACCGTTTTATTATTGTCCGAATTACAGCTGTGCTTAATAAACATTAAATTGTAACATATAACATGCTGTATTGCACAATTGAAAAATTGCATATTGAGCTAAGATAAACTAATCGTAGTTCGAATTAAATAAAGAACATTCTACATGGGTTGAGTGCAATAATTTTAACAAATTAAATAGTTTGAGAAAAATATTGCACAAAATGTTTAATTATTATTCAAATATAATGAGATGACTCGATGACAGCGAGGATAAATAAATACACAACAAACAACCAATACTAACGCTGACACTAAATTGACACATATGCACAATTCATAATTTATGACACAGACCGCGAGGAACGCAGCGCGATGGCAGCGCGCATAGATGAAACCGATGAAACTGCTAGAACGAGCGGAGCAGCGGGACATCAGCGGGCGTCCGTTGATTAACGAATCGTTTGCGTTTTGCGTTTTGCGTTCAACCGTTTCAATGTTTCAATGTTTCAATGTTTAACCAAACGATTTTCGTTCGAGATCCTTGGCATATGGCATATCCTTGGAGTAAAATATCAGATGATATCAGATACGTTTCGACGTATCAATATACTGTTTTAAGTTTAAAATTTTGCCAAAATGTATCTCACTTCAAATCATGCATTTATTTTTAATATTATTTTATATCTGGTTATATTTTATTTATTGCTTAAATTCTGTAGCGCAATGCAATCTAGAACGAAACAATAATAACTGATATACTCTTATTTTATGTATGATAATAACTATATAGTTGAAGGTTGCATTTTGCCTTAAGGCAAGTTGTACGAACTTTCCGAAATGTTCAATAATTGACTTAATCAACCGAAATTGAGATTTAGATATTTAGATAAAATTTTCAACTGTTTATTTCGAAAATAAAATTTTCGCTTTCAATCAAAACGTAACATTACAATTTAGAATTGGAATTTCCCAAACACATTTAAAAAATTATATGTAATTATATGTCCTAGTAATTTATTATTTGACATTTTAATGACTTGACAATGTTTGACTTATCACAAAAGCAACTTTTGACTATAATATTTTTTCAAACTTTAATGATTTTTTAAAATCAAACTATTTGTCGTAGAGCTGTAATATTTCAGTATGTTCTATAAGAACGTGATATCTATCGCCAAAGAGAGTTTCATAATAATCGTCAAAAAAATAGTTTCAACAGTTAATTACAAGAAAACTGGTCAGAAGATCTTTACCTAAAACTAATCAGTATAATTCCTAATCAATATCTTTCGAACAGTTTTTAACTTCCCGTCGAGTGAGTTACATCGCAAAAAAATCGAAAATAATTTTTTTTATATATTTTTACGTTTAAAAGATTTCTAAATATTTTGAAATACTTTAGAAAAAATGGACGTATGTGTGTGCGTGTTTGTTTGTGCGGATACAAATTTTCGTCGACGATTTCGGGAACACGAATCAACCGATTTGAATAGTTAAAAAAACATTCGATTCATATTGATAAGGAGACGTGTTTATTAGTTTTTGGCAAAGGCAGGTCTAGCCGTTCCGAAGATACGGGCCAAAAAGTGCCAAAAACGGTAACTCAGTTTGTAAGGGAATGGAGCGTCCGATTTTAATCATTCAAAAAACATTTTACATGTATTGATCATTAGACATATGCACATTAAATTATCAGATATTTTAATAATATGTATCCATTTTATTTACATTTCTACGGGTTCCGTAACATCGTTTGTCCGTCAGACGGCGACGCGGCGTTACGCGCTTCGGTATTTCGTCTTTATGCAGTTAAAGCTGTGCGATTGCTTTGAAAAAAAGTTTAAAATTTCCATAATATGTCAAAATAAAAAAAAACATTTTTTAAAGTCTTTTTTTAAAAAAAAAATAAAATTTCTCAAAAATCTATTTTCTTCAGAGTTTAATTTTTTTTTTTTTTTAAATTGAATTTTTGGTACGGAAAATTCCCACTCACGCTTAAATTGACAAACCAAAGCGGTTATTTATTCAATTATTCATCACACACGTTTGGCCACTCAGTAAAAATTATTGAAGCTTGGTAGGGACGTTATGCCATATCCACCATACTGTTCTGACTTTGCACCTTCTGATTACTTTTTGTTTCGATCTTTACAAAGCTGCCTGAATGATAAATAACTCAATGGTGTCAATAGGATGGTGTCAAATTGTGCCTGTTTCAGTTTCTTGCTAATAAAAACTAGAAGTTTTGTGAAAGTATGATAATGTTGCTGCTTGAAAGATGACAAAAAGTCATTGGGCAATACATTATGCGGAATAAAGTTATTTTCTTCCATAAAAAATATGTCTGTTTTGCTAATAAAGATTTGCACTTTGTTGCCAATCTAATAATTCAAAAATATGTTTCCAAGTGAAAATAGCCCTTCTCGAGCATTGTCGCCATGAAATTAAAAATTTAAAATCACTAAATAAATTTTTATAATAATCCTATTTCAAACGTAGATTCCATTAGTTTCTCAATTTCAAACGTAATTTGCTTTATAAAATGCTGCGTAAAGGAGAAGTTTCAGCACAACAGCCCATCGAGTTACACCCAGGCCTCGCTATACGGCCGCTCTTTATACGGCCTTTCGCTATAACGGCCCTCTTTAATTAAGGAACGTTTTCGATATACGGCCTAAAATGTTTCGCTATAACGGCTTTTTTAAATTCCCGTAGCGCAAGTTATAGTAATCGCAAAAAAATCGAAAATGAAAATTTTTATATATCTTTACGTTTCAAAGGTTCAAACGTTTTGGAAAAACTATAATATCAAGGATGCTGTTGAGAACATTAGTGAATCCTGGAAGGAATTGAAATCGACAACAATGAATCATGTTTGGAAAAGAAATATGGCCAGAATGTATAAAAACTACCGATGCAGAAGTTAATTTCCTTCCTGAAGTTAGACAAAACATTTTGGATTTAGCACATGATCTCGGTTTTGAAGATTTAAACGAATCTGATGTGCTGGATCTACTTGCAGCTAATCAGTTGCAAGCAGAGCCGGCAATTGATAAAGATACAGAACCTGTTGTATCCAAGCAGCTAACATCAAAAATCATGTCGAGCGCTTTTTCATATTTTGAACAAGGAATAACATCTTCCTTGAAAACGATCCTGACGTCGAACGTAGCGCTAATGTCTCTCGAGGAATTAACTCAGCCATTAGCTGTTATAAATCACAAATCAATCACATCATCTAAATTTTTCAAACCACCAGCGCAAAATGATGGTGACAGTGGTCTGTATTTAAAAATTATGGAATGTTTTTGAAGTTTTTTATTTTATGTAAAATTTATGTTCTTGTTAAATATGTTTATAATTTAAACAAAATAAAAAAATAAAATGCATTTTGAATGATAAACCATATTATATATTTATTAAATTTGGAACCGATCCCATTGAATTTGTATGAATACGTATTAGAATAATTGATTCGTTATACGGCTTTTCGCTTTACGGCCAAGTTTTGCGGAACGTATCTAGGCCGTAAAGCGAGGCCCCAGTGTATTAAGTTATGATTAAATTGAAGTAGAATTGCAATAAATTGAAATTGAAGTAGGAAATAATAAATATAGGGAATGTTAAACAACGCAAGACCACTTCATAATTGTTTTAGTTTTAGAGTTATATAGTGTCTCAACATACACTATACGAATTGAAACTAGATAACTCTTTAGTTTAACTCTAAGACATTTTTTTTACTTTATTTATGATTTTTCAATTAATGCTAGTTTAATTTGATGTGAGTGTTTTTTCTGGTGCGATACTGTATGAATATTAAAAAAATTGCTGAATGATGACACACATACCGTGTCGAAATGTATAAATAAATAGATCATTATTTATTTTTCTTTTAATTCGACGAATGGCTGCAAGTCAACATTCAAGAATATGTCCCAACGTCGAACAAAAAAATCTAAATCTTGTAAAAATATATATATATATTATAATCATAATATATATTATTGAAATTCATTTATTGAATATAATTAAAATTTCAAATATTTATATTCATAATTTTACTACATTTCTAAGCCTTCATTATAATACCCGTTGCCTGCAGCTCCACTAGTTTTACTTGCATTAGAATTAATATTGTTTGGATAATCGTCATTTTTAATACTTGTATTTGTATTAGTTAAATTTTTGGCCCATGGCTGCACTTCGCCGGATGCAAAAAACCAATATATCACAGCTCCTTAAATTATAATAATGTAGATACAGTACTACTTAAAAAAAATGAGGTGATAAGTTATTATATTAATTTTGATATTTAATACAATATTATACGTTATTAAAAATATTTTCCGCGGTAACTTTTTATTTGCGATCGGTAGTTATATAGAATATGCGCTTACCTAACAAATATATTCCACTTGAAATGTAAAATACAATTTGCCACGATGTAAGTAAATCATCTCCAACCTGAAAATTATTTAACGTTTAATATATATCTATAGTATAGTATACTGTCGTTTTATTATCAAATAAAAACTATTAGCAAATTATATTTAGTATGTAGTAGCCTTTTAGAATTGTAGTAATTGTAAGAGTAGACTCCAGTGAAAAAAACTCACCTCATGCAATCACATATTGCATGTATTTTTAATGTTCCCGAAAGAAAAAGATAATCATGTTTAATAGAAAAACGTAACATTTTAGCCTAATAAATCTAATTTCAAATTGTTCCAAAATTTCACCTTTCCATTAACAATGAAACCAGTCAATTGAGGGCTGATTATTCCTGGCAATGTTGCAAAAGTATTTGACAATCCCATCAGAACGCTAGCATATTGTGGTGCGATGTCCAAATGATTTACACTGCAAAATGATAAAATACCATTAGTAAGCCATAGTACAGCCTCTTAATCGTTTATCAGTTATTTTCAAACCTGAATCCAGACCAAGCAAAAGCGCCCAAACCCACAGCGACTGTCAGACATATCATGCTTCCAATAGGCTTCAGTATAAAACCAGCTAATAATAAAAATATTGTCTGACCAATAAATGCAGAGCAGTTGAAGTACCTACGTACCTAATTAATGAAATAATTATTTATTATTTATAACTTTCGAAACAAATTCGTTGCAAAGTAATCTCACTTTGGATACCAAGATTCGACTATGGAAAAGCATATTAATTTTGAAAACCGGCATTCTGAAAAAACGGCAGAGAGTTAACGTCAAATAGACCAAGAATATAAAAACATACGTAAAGATTAGAATTTACTGCTATAGTCAATTCATTTGAAAATAATGCTAAAATTATACATATGGTATTGGTAACTAGTCAGAATCCAGTTACACACGATAACAAAAGTTTCAGGGAATACAGAATCGACCATCAAATTAAAAGTCATTTTGATGGTATTTTTGAAAAACAAAACATCATATTATATACCAACTCAAATTCAAATAAATAACCATTCAAATAATTAAAATCATAAACGCATTATAAAAGGATATTTGATTAAATCTTATACCTTCTGGCCCAATTCCTGTTATTAACTCTACGTAGGGTAAGTTATTGTAATCGTCCAAAAATCTAAATTGAAAATTTTTACATTTCTTCACATTTTGAAGGTTCTGAACATTTTGCCATAACTCAGAAAAAATGGATGTGTATGTATGTATGTATGGATACAATTCTTCGTCCACGTTTTCGGGCGCACGGATCAACCGTTTGAATGGTTCAAAAAACATTCGATTTCTATTGATAGGGAGATTGCTGATTAATTTTTGGCATAGACAGGTCCAGCCGTTTCGGAGATACGGAGCAAGGAGTGCAGAAAACAGAAATCGAGTCTTTGAGAGAACGGTGCATCCTATTTGAATGATCTAAGAAACATTCAATTCGTAATGACGAGGAGAATTGGTGATTAGTTTTTGGTCCAGCCGTTTCGGAGATGTACAAAAAATGGCAGTTTTTGAGAGAACTAAGCATCCGATTTGAATGATTCAAAAAACTGTCTGTTTGTTTTGACAAAATACTCGCTTTTGGAAAAAAAATTATTTCAATTTTTGCAATTTTTTTTCTCAAAAAAAGTTTTTTTTTGTATCTCGAAAAGATTTTAATTATAATTCTGGCTAAAGTTCTAAAGCTCTTATATAATTCTTATAAATATTTGACAATATTAGAGTATTTATAATAATCTATATGAAAACATTTCTCGAACATTTCGCTATGGTACGGGAAGTTCTACCAATTTGCCTTAAGGCACGATGCCATACACAACTAGTTATCTGTGTAACCGCAAATTATATTCATGAAGTAGCTTAGTTTCTGAATTCCGAAAATCAAAAGCGTATAATGAACAAATATTTGAATATATATTTTCTATTCTGGCCCAATTTCTTTTATCATCTTCCTAATAGTCCTGATGCCATATTTCTGCTCTTTTCAAGCAAAATAAAACGATGAATGGTGACTCTTTATTTGAAGCAAGTTAATTGTCACCGCTTAAAATTGTATACACTTAAAATAATAATGTAAAGATACTAGTTTTAAAGATTACTGCTTGAAATTGTATCCAATTAAAGCTGCTAAGTATGTTATTGCAACCAAATTGATATGAGATTTCGAATTGATTAATATTACATTTATATCCAACATTCAGGGCCGGATTTAGAAATTTGGCGCCCCGGGGCAATGACAAAAATGCCGCCCCATCCCTAAAATTTTACAAACTTTGGAACTTTTTTTTAAAGCAATCGCGCTGCTTCAGCTACGAGGGAGAAAATATAGAAGCGCGTAAGCGCCGCGTTGCAGTCTAACGGATAAACAATGTTACAGAACTTATATAAATGTAAACAAAATTTATACTTATGATCACTTTTGTCCGCCAAATGTTTCTTTTTCAATTTTTTTTATTGGATCACAAAACCGCTAAACCTGCCCTCCACAAATTTAAGCAGTTATTTATTCTGTAATTTATTCTTGTTTGAATGTTATTGGATGCTTTTTTCTCAACAACTGAATTATCAGTTTTGGCATTTTGGCCCGTATCTTGACAACAGTTGGACCTGCCTTGAGGTCTGTTTATCGATATGAATTGAATCATAAATCGGTTGATCCGTGCTCTCGAAATCGACTTAAATAATTAAACAATATTATATTTCTATTGATGGGGAGACGTGCTGATTAGCTTTTGGTACAGGCAATTACGTAAAATGGAAATTGAGTTTCGATATTTCTTCTCTTCTTTGCAAAAAGTTCATAATTTTCGAAAAATTTCAAAATACAAAAAATGTGTTTTAGAAGTATTTTTTTTCATTTTTCAATAAATGTTGAAGCTCTTTATAAAATGTAATTTTTAGTAAGTGATGTTTCAATAATTTGTCTCAAGGCACAATGCCATGAGTCACTAGTTTAAATTTTTTTTCGACGCTATGAGCTTGGAAGTGCACAAATACGCCATTTTAAGAGGGCTCGAGAACTGAAGAACATATTTTTCTTAAACTATCAGCTTGTTTACGGATCTTTATATTAGCCAAATTGCCAAATTTGATGACTTATTAACCAATTTGATAATTTGCGTTCGGAGAGGGAGAGGCAAGGCAAAATAATAAATTTTAGTTATCGTTTATTTCAACCTAAATTTTGCATTGCAATCATATTATGTTTTGTTAATTATATTTCTTGAAATAAAAAATGTTGTTTAAAAGGTTGATCATATTGTATAGAATTTTTTTCTCACTATCCAAATTTTGCCGCCCCCCAAAACTTGCCGCCCTAGGCAGTAGCCCCGATTGCCCCTACTGTAAATCCAGCACTGCCAACATTGTTTGTAAAAAATGTCAACGTATCACTTTCATTAATAAATTGTATTTCTTACTTGAGATGTTGTTAACCATCCTTTTACTTGGCATCTGTCGGCTAACTGTCCACTAAATTGAAGTAGAATAGCCATCGCTAAATAGGGCAAAGCAGACATAAATCCAGTCTTCTCAAGTTTGAAATTTAAAACATCTGGAAAAGATTACAAACATTAAAACTGTTTTAGAATCATTTTTATAACTTAATTACTAAAACCTGTAGGTTAGTTTTGAATTAATAAATAAATAAAAATATTACGAATGAAAATCAAATATAAAATATATATATTAGAAATTCACTTATTTCGCAATGTGATAAAATTGTACAATTTGCAATTTATACTTTTTGGATTAAAATATTATTAAATATTACCTCTAAGAAAAGAAGGCAGTTGGGTCAAGAGAGTATAAAAACCCCAATTTTCACTGAAATGGGAGGCGACTATTGCCCACACGGGTGCAGACCTTAATATGCTTTTCCATGGGGGTGGTGCTAAAGACTTTTCACGATTGCTAGCAGAAATATTGAATGTTCCCAGAGATTTCTGAATATATTCCAACTCTTCTATAAAGTGAAAAATAATAAAAGATATTTAGTATTCGTGAAATATTATTTAAAACTCACTATAAATATAAAAAGAACTAAAAAATAAAGGATGTTATTAGTATTTGCTATTTTTTAAAAACCCGATGAAATCGTTTAATTTGAGAATGCTTGAAACTTTTTAAAATTCCAGGATTCTTTTTCAACATTAAAATAAGTAAAACTTTGTGAAATTTTTTTAAACACAAAACTTTTAAAATTTTCAATGCTTTTTTTTTAAATTCCGTTAAATTTAAAAAAAGAGTGTTAAATATTTCACAATTTCGATTAATTTTTAAATTTTCAAAACTTAAAAATAAATTTCAATGAAAATATCTATTATTTGACAGTGACTAATTGAAAAATAAAAAAATGATAAAAATTTAAGGAGTCATTGATATTTAAAAATACATATATATTATAAACAATTAGAAGCCAAGAATTTTTACAGTTCACGTTTTCACAGTTTTGTTTATAAAAACTAATGAATAAACGTATATCATTATCACGTTTATCAAATGAGGCATTTACATTATAAACAAAGATATTAACGGTCAAAATGTTTAATAACACAATTGATCGACGATTTTTAATGTTAATTGAAATTCGTGATACATTTCGTTTCTGTATTGTTAAGACATAGAGATTGAAATTAAACAATAATGATTTCAGAATGTTTTAATTGTAACCAGTTTTACTTTATTAGTGTTCAAATTTTAATAGATAGTATGAATTTAGAATTTTTGGCTAGTATTTCTATATATTTATAATTCTATAGACTGTTCTCTTATTTTTAACCAACTATCCTTTAAGGTTCCAATACTATCTACGCGTTCACGATTATTTTTCAATTATCCTACTCCTAAATCTAATTCTCTCTTAAATTCGCCTATTTTACTTACATCCTCTAACTTTAACTTAATTAATAATGAAATAGATATTCACAACACTTCACCAGATCAAATAATCTTCATCTGCACAAGTTAACCTTTTTATTTTCTTTTCAAATATCTTATTTTTTTATCTTATTCTGTATATAAATATTATTGTTACATTCTGTATTATATGTAATTTTATGTTAAGTATTTTATGTTAATAACTATATATTGTAATTTTGTATATATTTTAATTGTTATTCATTATGTAAAACAATTGTATTTTTGAGTCCTCTTGGAAGAAATCTTTGGGCTATATATTTAAAAATACATAAATAAAATAAATAAATATATATAATTCACAACTAAAGGGTTAGTTTTCAACTTCCTGAAGGAAAAGTTTATGTTTTCATAAAAAAATCGATTCGCTAATTTTATATTTTCGCGACGTTTCAAGCCCTTCTGAATCGAATGAGACAAATTTGGAAAAAGCATGTGTGAGTGTGCGTGTGCGTGAGCAGATTTTTCACCGTAAATTGACGTTTTTTCAAAGACGGCTGCACCGATTTCAAAAATTTAAAAGCCATTCGATGCATCTCGATGAAGACTAGCGTTTATCAGTTTTGCGCGACAATCGGCCGAGCCGTTTCCTTGTAATTAGCAGAAAAGTGAAAAAAAAAATCGACCACGTTTTAGCCCGCAATTCTGAATCGATTTTAAAAATTCAAAACCGTTTGAAAGATTTTGGTAGGGAATCGACCTGATTAGTTTTTGGTAAAGCTCGGCCGGGCCGTTTTCTTGTAATAAAGTGTCAAAAAAATTTTTTTCGACGATTTTTATGATTTTTTTTTGATGGTAGATACCATAGTCTTATAGATCATAATAAAATATTACGGGCCTACGACATCTCGTTTTCGTAAAAAATTCGTCAGAGTTTGCAAAAATTAGTATCGTTTTTTTGGCATTTGTCAAAATTAGACCTTTAATCGACGTTTTCTTAAAAACGCCTGAACCGATTTTAGAAATTTAAAAGCAATTTGATGTATTTCAATGAGGACTATCGTTTTTCAGCTTTGTGCGACGATCTGCCGAGTCGTTTCTTTGTAATTTGAAAAAAAGTGTTAAACATTTCGTCCACATTTCTGCTCATACTATCGAATCGATTTAAAAAAAATCAAAAACTGGTCGAAAGATATTATTTGGGCATGACAATAATTAGTTTTAGGTAAAAATCTACCAAGCCGTTTCCTTGTAATTAACTGTTAAAAAAATTTAAGCCGATTTTTATGGAACTTCTTTTGGCGATATATATTATGGTTTCATCGAACTTACTGATATACTACGGCCTTATGACAAGTAGTTTAATTTTAAAAATTCATGAAAGTTTGAGAAAATGAGTAGTTTTTTTTGACGTTTGTTAAAATTAAAATTAACCGATTTACTTGGTATAACGATAAAGTTATACCTTGGTCTTAATGAACATACTAAATCATTAAAGTCCTACGAAAACTAGTTCAATTATAAAAATTATTGATTTTTAAACATTTCCTTTTATAAAATACTCCGAGTTAACGTGTTCGTTCGTTTTCAATTATGTGTAACAAATCCACTCGGATACTAATTTATAATTCACTCACATATTAATTTATTTATTTTTTATTGATTAAGTCGATTATTTACACATACCGGGAAGATCATGTAAATTGCTTCAAGGCAAAATACCAGTACCAACTAATTTAATAAAAAATGCTAAATGTAATTTATTTATATTTCTTAAAGATAAAAAACAATTTTTGTTAACATTTATTTATATTTTGTAAGGGGACATATATTTTTTAGATGAATAAAAATAGAAATATTTAAAAATTTAGAAATAAAAATATTTTTTTACCTTTACTTATGTATTTGTCATCTTCGGGTTTACCTTTGACAATTGCCCAATATAAAACAAACCACAGGACGCCAATGATACCAAAGACGTAGAATATATATTCCCAACCTATTCGGTTAGCGATCAACGCGCATACGGGCATTGAAACTACAGTACCTACATACCTAAAAACAAAGAAATATAATAAATTATAATTTATTTAATATTATAACATATTAACATGTTCATAGAAATCATAGAAGAACTCTATTAAAAAGTTTATGCCGACTACACTGATATATAAGTAATATCTTATAATCTATATAACTCATAACTAATACAAATAAAAATTATAATATTTTTTTATTAATATTATCCTTTACTTACGATCCACTGAAGGCTACAGTTGCAAGTCTGGATCTTTCCAGTGGTGGTGCCCATTTAGTCCAAACAGCATGAGCACATGGAAATGTCACACCCTGCAATAAATTATAACAATATAATTATAACAATTCTATTAAGTTTAAATTAAAACAGGAATTTGAAGAGTTAAATTTAAAAAAAGTGTTAAAAGTAATATGGTATAAGAAATCTAAAAAATATTTACAATTATAAAATCTATATTTATACTCATTTACCTCAAATATTCCCTCTAAAATGCGCACAGCAATTAATAAGTATATATTATATTTTGCTATTGCGGGAGTTACCAGTGTGAATATAGCTGTAACTAATATTCCAATAGCAAATACTCGATGACCACCTGGAATAAATTATGTGTTGATTTTGTTTTTCATATTACCTGATAATAAAGTTATTTTGATAATTGAAGAAGTGTATGAAAAGAAATGACACAAACAAGCAAAAATCTAGACGATCGTTTGTTTGAAATAGTTCTCAATAATCAATATATATATATATATATATATATATATTAATGATAATTAATTTCAAATAATTAGTTACAATATAAGTAATACCAAATTTAATAGCTAACCATCCAGCAGGCAGTTGACTAATTATGTAACCATAGAAAAAAGCCGATAGTAAAATTCCTGTAGTTTGCTTATCCCAGTCAAATTCGGGGACTATCTAAAAAATAAAATATTATATTCGAGCGTCTACAATTAGTTGTTCGTCTACAAATGATTGTAAGTCTTGGGTCTACAGTTCTACTTGTTTAAGACTCAAATACACGAATTAATAAATCCTATATAAGAGACAAATCATTATAGTAACAAGCTCATAAGGGGGCGTTCACTAATCACATGATCGATTTTTAGGGATTTTTGGACCCTCCTTCCCACCTTGGTGATACGTACTGATATTCAAAATTACCCTCTCTCTCGTTACGTAAAATTTTTCGAACAAACATTTCGATTTTCTAAAAAATTTTTTTTTTGAAAATCTAGGTAAAAAATAAATACACATGATATTTACTAGACCCCTCCTTCCTCCACGTAATTTTTCGTGATTTTTTATGAAACCCTCCTTGTCAGACCAAATTCTAAGACCAATATTTACAACAGATATATAGAGTTTTAAATGTAATTTTTTAAGCAATTAAATATCATCTGTGAACAAATATCAACTTGTTTAATTTTACATTAAATATTCGCAATTACATTACGGTTATTCAAATAGACTCTCTCGCCCTCTCTCTCTCTCTCTCTTATATATATATATATATATATATATATATATATATATATAAATTTGAATATTACAACCGCATCATTATTGAAACGTCATTAGGTTGCAAGTGCAATTGACATAGAGATAATAGAAAAAGCCATGCATACCCTTCATACTGATTTATTAGTATGCGTACTTTTAAATTTAAAACTGAATCTTGAAACTGAAAGCAATTTTAACTTAAAATTTATAAACTTTATAAACATAAAACTTTTATCTTCAAAACTTATTTTCAATATTTAACTCCGCGAAATGTATCGTTCTTTTAACTAATCGAAGGGAAAATTCTAGTTTACGCCAGAAAATCCGCTTAGATAAACGAATGCTTTCTTAACGATACAAGTCATTCTAAATTGTTTGACATCAAAATTGAAGGAAGTATGTGTGTGTATATAATCCTGCGTGTATGTGAGTCAGAATTTGACAATGTCGACTTTTTCTCAAAACCGGTGCGACGATATCACAAAAAAGAAAAAAAGGAACTAGTGGTGTATGGCATCGTGCCTTAAGGCAAATTGCTGGAACTTCCCGTACCGTAACGAAATGTTCGAGGAATATTAAATATTTTCAAATAGATTATTATAAATATTGTAACATTGTATAATATTTATAAGAATTATATAAACTGAATTGCAAAGTTAAAATTATTTGTTTAAAGTATATTAGAACTTTAGTCATAATTAAAATTAAAATCTGAAATATTTTCGATACACAAAAAAAAATTGAAAAAAAAATTTTTAGTTCTCTCAAAAACTGACATTTTTTACACATTTAGCTCTGTATCTTTGCAATGGCTGAACCTGTCTTTGCCAAAAACTAATCACCTTTTCTCCCAATCATTACAAATTGAATGTTTTTTGGATCATTCAAATCAGATGCTCCGATCTGGCAAAAACTCGATTTCTATTTTCTGCACTCTTTGCTCTGTATCTCCGTAACGGCTGGACCTGTCTTTGCAAAAACTTCAACTATCAATAGTAATCGAATGTTTTTGAACCATTCAAATCGGCTCATCCGTGCTCCCGAAATTGCGGACATACAAAACACACACACATATCCATTTTCTCTGAGGTATGCCAAAATGTTCAGAAACCTTCAAAACGAGAAAGTATACAAAAAATTTAATTTTCGATTTACGGCCCATTACTTTAACTATCCGACGGGAAGTTAATAACATCCATCTTTATAACATTGTTATAATGAGCCTAAGAAGTGGTTTAATTATAAAAACTTATTAAAGCTTGGAATAAACTCGCTTTCAGCAGATATACCTAGTATAAATATGAATATAAATATGAACCGTGTAATTTTTTCACTAAAATTTGAATAGTGCAATAAGTTCTTAAGGCGCAATACCATTTTCCATCCGAAATTGAATCAATCGTATGATTCGGATCATATCCATAAAAATCATAATCATAAAAAGCAATCTGTTTTATATAGCATATTCATGATTATTTTGTACGCGATAATTCCTGAGAAGTATATACTAATTATATATTTATAAATACTTCTTTTGATGTAAAAACTCGTAATAATTTTTGCGTTTATTGGTATATCGTAATAAAACATTATCACGCCATGTTTTTTCGTTGAGACTCTTGGTCTTCGTACACGTATTTTAAATAGTTTTTTTCTGGCAAATTCATACTCGGCATTGCAAAATTGATAGAAAATTTAAGTTTTTTGGGATTTTGATTCTTTTGAGGCGATGATACAAATTTTTGCTCTTCATTTTTAAGTTCGAGAATAAAAATATAGAACGTTAGCATATAAAAACATTCGAGAAGTAATAATCTACATGCTTGGCAGTGCCAATTGCTCTCATTTCGAATCTTGTGACAAGAAATTAAATAAGATAATGAGATCAAAGACTATAATCCTCTCAAATTCATATATTGTTATATTATTTTATCATTTTATTAATTTATATTCTTATTGTTAATACTCACGTTTACGATGGTTCCGTTCTCTAATATTTTTGTGTCATTGTTGGTCATGGCAACAACTGCTATACTAAGATTAACTCTCAATGCATATGCATTGAAGAACCCAAAAAATGCCAATATAGAAAGCAAGTAACGTCTTTGCTTCCAAAACTTCCATGTGAAAGGCGGAGGTTTCGGCGTTTCATGGTCAATGTTTTGCCTGAAGTGCAAAAATAATATCAATATCATATTACATGACTCAATAAATATTCTTGAATAGAATAAAAAACAGACATTTAATTAGTGGTGCATTAATTATATTATGATAAAGTTTGAATAGTTCAATTTTTTTTTAATTATGATATAAATTTTGTACATCTCATAAGGAGAACCAGCAGTCACTTAAGCAGTCAGAAGTGTCCGGTATGAAAGATCGTAAAAAATATCTATACAATAGTATATATTTATTTTATAGATATCATTATTATGATCATTACAACATTTTATATCAATTATTCTATAATTTAAGCATACGTATATTTTATTTTACAATCATACATTGGTCTAATTTATTTACCTAGATTTTCTCTATAATATTTTTTTATCTTAAATTTGTTTGAAAAAATTTGAATCACCTGGTCTTTTCAAAAAAGTAATTTTCAAAAATTCCTGAATTTTTTTTTAAATTTGAATTTAACTTTAATACAGTCTCAAATCTATCTTCGATACAATATACTGTAATATAGCATGAAAAATGCGAGAACCGATTACCAAAAAATAATAGTGAATTGTTATTTGATCATTGATCATTGATCATAAAAATCAAACGTCCAAGCTTGACAGTTGAATTATTAGCTAATTTTCAATTTTATATCCTTGAATAAAATATGCGGAATTCGAAATCAGATAAAGATAAAAACCATTAAGTTTTTAATCCAAATATTAGAAAGTTTCACGTTATAGTTGGAACGTTATCTTGGAGTGAATTGTATCTCTTATTATTAGTATTCTGAGAATTCTTATTGCTATATAACCCCCAAAAAATAGTATTTGAATGTGTGCGCATTATTATTTAAAAGCTCTATAAAATATCTAACAGTTTATTATCCATGTTTTAATAAAAGACTATTAAATTTCACAAACCGTTTGAGCCAATTTCCCCAAAACATGGTAATTTCATTTTTTCTCATGCGTTTTAAATAAATTACTTTACAGAAAGTAAAAACTTAATTATAATTATATTTTTAATGAACTATCTAAATATGAATTTTAATTACAAAATACATTAGTCGATGTTATTACTACAAGTATTGCAGTAAAATGCGAGACAGTATATTGACAATGAGAATTTTATGCTAATACAATATGTTCTAAAATGTAACAAATCTTTTACATTCTAGTAATTCTGTAATAATTCAGACATACATTCGTTATCAATTATACGACACATTGCAATGAGAAGTTAATTCTTTCCTGAAATCTAATAAGAACCAATTCATTTATGTCGTGCAAAAGGCTTATGAATCGGTATAAATCTTAAACAAATTAAGTGTAATCAAAAGGTGAAGCAAATCCATAATTTATAAGCTATTTAATAATAAATTTGATTTAATTCATTATTGCTCATGACATTAGTAAATAGAACATGTTCAACTACACTTTGAAGCAAAACTTATTTACTTACGAGTACACAGAAAAGCTCTACCAGAAAAAAAGTATAAATTATGTTAAAAAAGCATTATCATTATTAATTAAAACAACAATGTCGGTTAACGCCACTGAGCGAATGTTGGAAACAGCCCTCACCACTATTGCGAGTTAGAGCATTTTTCATATTAATTGTACAAGAATTAGAGAATTTTCATATTAATTGTACAAAAATCTAATTTAATAAAATAACAGATATGTAAAGAAATCTAAGGTGCCGACAGTTTGAATGCAAAGATCATTCCTTTTACAAAGAACGTATCTAACTTTTGTTTTTTATTTTGTCAAAACTTTAGAGCATTTTCCTACAATTTTCTATCATTTACAAGAAAAATGTCTGTTACTAATGGACAGACTAGAAATCAAAGTCGGGATGATATTTCTGAAAACTTTGATATAATTAATCGACGTTCAATTTCAAAAATTAGTTTGATAATATAATAAGCAATAAATTCTATTAAATTGAATACGTTGTAGTTGAAATCTTTTTAATAAAAATTATCACAGTATTAAAGATGAGTTTACTAAACGTATTATTAACATTCCAAGGAAGAAGTTTTTGTCTTCGCAAGAAAATCCAATTTGATAATGTTATGTTTTCTCGATGTTTAAAGTGGAATTGAATGAGACAAAATGTAACTAGTGGTGTATGGCATCGTGCCTTGAGGCAAATTGCTGGTACTTCCCGTACCGTAACAAAATGTTCGAGGAATATGAAATGTTTTCAAATAGATTATTATTTATAAGAATTATAAAAACTGAATTGTAAAGTTAAAATTATTTGTTTAAAGTATGTGAGTGAGCTTTAAGACTTTAGCCAGAATTAAAATTGAAATCTCAATTATTTTCGATATACAAAACAAACAAAAAACACAAGCAGAAAGTTTTTTGAATCATTCAATTCGGATGCTTATTTCTTTTTGAACTGCCATTTTTTGTACATTTAGCTCTGTATCTCCGAAATGGCTGAGCCTGCCTATTATAATAACCAATTCTCCCAATCATAACTAATTGAATGTTTTTTAGATCATTCAAATCGGATGCTCTGTTCGTAACGGCTGGACCTGCCTTTGCCAAAAACTAATCAGCACATCTCTTATCGAATCCTTATTAATAGGAATCGATGTTTTTTGAACCAAAAAATGCTGATATGCAAAATACACACACATCCATTTTTTCTGAGATATGCCAAAATGTTCAGAAACCTTCAAAACGTAGAAAAAAGCAAAAAAATTTATTTTCAATTTTAGACCCATTGCTATACTACCCTACGGGAAGTTAAAAAAATACATGTGTGTGTATGTTAGCCGATTTTTGACCTTTTGTCGCGTTTTCTCTAAAACGACTACACCGATTTTTTAAATTTAATTCTCGATGTAACTCGACAAGGACTTGCTTTGATCAGTTGTCTGACTATACAAAAATGCTAAATCGATTTTGAAAATTCAAAAACTATTTAGAACTATTAAGAAAGATATCATTTGGAAATCGCGCTGATAAGTTTTTGGCAAAGATCGGCCAGACCGTTTCTTGGTAATTTTCTATGATTTTAATGAATCTTTGTATGGCGATATAAAGATTCTGGTCTTTATGAGTACTAAAATAATATAGTCCTACTGAAAGCGGTTTAATTATAAAAATTAATTAATATCTGAATTAATTGGTCGATTTTGTTTTTAAATTGAATAATATGCAGTAATTTCTCAAAATGTGACCTTCTGCAGCAACTTGGTATATTTATAAATAATTCCTAAATTAATATAATGATTTTCTATTAATCAAATCGATAATTTCATGCAACTTGTCGTAAGGCAAAATGCCACTTACATCTAGTATTAAAATGCATTCAATTAGTTATCATTAGCAAATATCACTGAGCAATAAAATCTAGAAAATCATTCCCAATTTGTAATGGTAAAGCATTGTTAAATAATATCAGATATCGCAAAGAAATTATAATTTACAGTGCTATAATAGTGTTTAATACATTCCGATCATAAGTTATTTGTACTGATATCGACAATAAAATTATTGGACTGCATTTTCGGCATTGGATCAAGTGTAAAATTAATTTCAGAAAGCAGAATATTTATTAAATCACAAATTCCAATTGTAAAGCACGTCTATCAATATGTAATTGTAAACAAATCGTAATTAGCACAATAGCACATATTATCAGAAAATGACCATAATTATTCGTAACAATAATGTTTTAAAAACAATTTTCAACAATGAATATTTGTAGCTAAATGAATAATCTAAATGATTCGGTTGTCTTATGTAATTAATTTTTAAATATAAATGCTTAAATCTTAATTTTATACATGTATGGAAGTATTTTTTGTGTAATTTATAAATTCAATTACCTGTCATTGATATTTAATTCCGTTGCATCATAATTATTCGTATTCCTTTTTATCACTTCGTTTTCACTCATGATTTATTGCTTTCACTCGATGAATTTGATACTATTTATTTTTTGAAAACTACAATATTTATAAAATATTATATATATATAATATTATATATATATATATATATATATATATACATATAAGTATTTACATGTGTGTACGTGTAGAGCGTGTGAAACTATTGATATGAGATATAAAATATGCACTTTTGAAGTGATGCACTTGTGAAGTATTATCTATTTACGCATTTGATATTTTATTGACAAAACCTTTACCTTAATTTTGATTTTATGTCTTTTTCATAAAACCTGATCGAATCGTAAATAAAATCTAGTAAAACATTATCAAATGAGATCGACCAAAATGAAATTAGCAACTAAAGTAATTTAGCAACGATCGCCTTAATTCGTGGCGGTCGTCGAATCAATGAGTGTTTAACGCTTCCCACTCGACAGGATTTCTTTATTTACGATTCAATATGTTGATAAACTCAAATTGCTCATTATAAACAGTATGGTGACTCTCACGCCAACTGTGTGATACTAACCAACCGTAAGCGTCCGTGAGATCCATGGCATTTACGTTTCCACGTGTTCCGCCGCTCGGCCGTCGTTAGCGGCGCACGCCGAATACAGATCTCAAGTACTACGGACAATTTAATCATTTTTTTGCATAAATTATTACGTAATAATAGCAGATGCTAAAATTGACATTATTCTCTATTGAAAATTATCACGACATCAACGACAAACTACTTCCTTGTTATTAGATCAATTACCTGAATAAATCACCTTTAGATTTGCGTGCGTTTAAATCGGTACTTTTCTCGCGATTAGATTAGGAACTAGTTGTGAGTGAAATTTTGCCTTACAACTAGTGTCCCTAAACTTGCATTGAAGCAAGTTTTTTAATTTTAACTATCCGTAGGGTAAATTATTGTAATCGTCCAAAAATTGAAAATAACTATTGGTGTATGGCATCGTGCCTTAAGACAAATAGCTGAAACTGCCCGTACCAAAATTATAAATTCGAGGGGAAAAAATCAGTAATCAATAAAAATTGATCAATGATTTACAACAATTGTCTTATACATTTTCAAATAGATAATTAGAATCACTATATATTTTATCATAAAATATGACAGAAAATATTGAGAAAGTTTACATTAGCAGGAGGTGAATGAATGAATCCATCTGAGGATATACTTCTTACGATTAGAAGAACGCATTTGAAATATATACATTTTGAAACTGAATTGTAAATTTAAAATTCATATTTAAAGTTTAAAACTTTGTATATTTTTGAAAATTTTGAATATTTTTTTTCGGAAAATTTTGACAAATTTTGACAAAATTGTAACAAAAAAATTAGTACTCATTTTTAGAAATTTTATCAAATAGCTGATAATTTTATGTGCATAAGTCTCATATTTATTTTTGACCACCACATATCATTTTTTCCTCTGTATCTCCGAAACCGCTAGACCTGCCTTGTCAAAAATTTCATCAATTATCCATTTCGTCATTACAAGCAAAATGTTTTTTGAATCATTCAATTACCGTTTTTGGCACTTTTTGCCCCATATCTCCGAAACGGTTAAACCTGTCTTCACTAAATCTAATCAGCACGTCTTCTTATCAATGGGAATCGAAAGTTTTTTGAACCATTCAAATCGGATGATTTGTGCGCCCAAAATCGTGGACGAAAAATTGTATCTAAACATACATACATACTATACACACACACACATACATCAATTTTTTCTGAAGTGTGCTAAAATGTTCAGAAATCTTTGAAACGTAAAGATATACAAAAATTTTTATTTTCGATTTTTAGCGATTACTATAACTTACCCTATGGGAAGTTAAAAATTTTTGCATACCTTTACGTCAGAAAAAGATGATGTGGTGTGTATATGTATGATGTGTGGATACAATTTTTCGTCGACAGTTTTGGGAGAACCGCTCAACCGATTTGGATGATTCAAAAAGCATACGATTCCCACTTATTATTAGGTCCAATCGTTTCAAAGACACGGAGCAAAAAGTGCAGAGAATATAAATTAAGTTTTTGAGAGAACGGAGTATCCGATTTAAATGATTCAAAAAACATTCCATTTCTAATCATGGGGAAGAATGATGATTAGTTTTTGGCAAAGACAGGTCCATCCATTTATACGATATGAGCTCAAAAAATTAAAGTTTTTGAGAGAACGAAGCATTCGATTTAAATGATTCAAAAACATTTTGTTTGTGTTGACGGTGTGAAGAAATAATTCGTTTTTGGGTAAAGCAAAGCAAAATTTTGATTTTAAAATTTCATTTTTTTTAAATTTCCAAAAAAAAAGTTTTTAGAATATCGAAAATGATAAGAGAAATATGAGATGATATCTTTCATTCTAATACCGCTTTATAAAGTTTTGTTCATTTATTTTTCATATAAATAATATAAAACATTCATAAGCTCTTATATTTTGTCTATGAAATACAAATAATAAAAGTTACAGTATTTATAACAATCTATTTGAAAACATTAAATAATGGTGCCATAAGGTACCATGCATTACTAGATTTTATTTGTTTACATGCCCTATAAGCTGCTTGTTGCAGACTTAATGTTTTATGAGAGGCAACCCATCGGTTTCCCTACGTGTGGCGTTTTAATATAAGCTCTTACGTCTAATAGTCATATGATTGAATGTTGCAGCTACCCACCATAGACGATTTCCACTTGAAATTATATTGGGATCTATAACCTCAAGTGGAAATTTGACATCAAAGTTGCCTGATGTTGGACTTTGGCGGTAACGGAAATTGAACCAGCGAACCCGGGACTAAATGGTGCTGCAAGCCCACATTCGAACCGATATCGCCACCGCCCAAACGATCTTTCTAAAAACTAATCAGCACGATTCTAACCTTTCGTACGATACGATTCATACCTTCAATCTTCAAAATCGATTCATGATTTTTGGCGAAAACGTTTGCATAAAGACAAGTATTGGTTCACCTATGCACGCATACACATGCTTTATTCTTTATTTTGGTGTCAAACGATTCGAAAAGACTTATATAATAAAACTAGTTAAACTATATAATAAATCTATAATAATAACTATATAATAAAAAAAACTATATAATAAAATCAGATTTTCTGTCGAAAACAAACTCTTTATGGAAAATTAACAAAAACTGAATAAAGAGATGAAAAACAGCAAAATTTTAATATTGATATAGGTATGTATTAACAGTGTCTAGTAATCTGGCGTATATATGCACCGGTTTTTTTTAAGCTTGTCGACAGAACGATATAATGCAAATAAGCGAATTACCGAAAAATCTGTCTCAAAAACTAGAAACATAGATTGAAATATTAGTTTTCAAGAGAGACCAAGAATTTTTAACCTATTTATTTTGAAAAAAAGAAATATTAGAAGATGTTATAATGTTTGAATTTTTTGAATTACATGTTAGTAAATTTTATTCAGAACTATAGAATATAATACGTTAATTTTCATAAATGTTATCGTATTAAATAAATTAAATATAAAAAATATAATCAGTTATAAATTAAATATATTTAAAAAAAACTAAAAATCAATATCAATTCATATCATATTAAATTCCCAAAAAAAAAGTTTGCTTTTGCTAGGAAATTTGTCTTGCTATATTTATGTATCCTAGATGTTTCAAATCATTCTAAATCGTTTGAAATCAAATTTGAAAATGTATATGTAAGTGAGCCGTTTTTTTAATTTTTGTCGACATTTTCTCAAAAACGGCTGCACCAATTTTAAATGTTCAAAAGCCACTCCATGTAACTATCAAGTACATCTACCAAGCGGTTTTTTTGTAATTAACAGAAACGTGCAACATATTTCGTACAGTTTTAGTTTAGAACCACTTTTGAAAATTCAAAAACTGTTCGAAATATATTAGGTGGTAATCGTGCTGATTACTTTTTGGCAATAATCGTCCTGGCCGTTCGTAATTAATTGTTTGAAAACATTGTTTAACAGATTCGATGAAACTTGCTGATAAAATTCTTAATCTTGACGGATGTCCTAACAAATTATAGGCCTACGAAAAATCGTTGAATTATAAATTCATTATTGTCTAGAATAATGAGTCGTGTCAAAATTTCAATATTTTAACGTTACAATTTTGAAGTCTCAATCAATGCTTATGTCGATTATTTACACTTATCGGGAAGTTGTTGCAAATTTGCCTTAAAACAAAATTCCACTTAAACAATTACTACAACACCTTAACAAATACTACATTTTTTTAATCCAATGATTATAACATCAATAACTGAGATTACATCATGTTTAAATTTTTTTAAACAAGCTAATCTTTTCTTTTATCCTTAGTTCTTCACACGAAACTATACTACACTAACTCCTCTAAACTCCTCACACTAAACTTCACATAAAAAATAAAAATTTTGCCTGAAACACGTTATATCAATCAATAAAACGAATTGAAGTATGGTATGAATTTCAGGCGGAATATATATATATATATATATATATATATATATATATATATATATATATACAGGTAACCCCCGCATAACACGGTAGTTACGTTCCAATAAAATATATTACATATTATGATGTTATAATAAATATTGTTATCTTTATTAATTTTTTTTAAAAAAAGTAATATACATTACGTCAATTATATGATTTTTTTCGTCATAATTAAATGGTAAGTGCTATCCAACATGATGAGCAGCATTTTTTTCAAAAGCAATCATATTTGCGATTACTTCCTTTAGCGAATAGATATTTATATATTTACCATATGCAAATTTCTCTTTATTAAAATTTCTGCTGATTTTATCAAAGGATCTTTGACTTATTGTTTGGATAAGCCAAGATTTTTTTCAAATTAGTTATCTTTTGCATTAGTTTCATTCAATTATTCAATTTTAGATTGAATAAAGTTTGATTTTTATAGATTTTACTATATTTTTCATTTTATCAGGGTTTTGCTCAATTCTTAAACCCTGTTAGAGAGAATCCGTGTTATAGAAGTACCGTATTATGCGGGGGTTACCTGTATGTATGTATATATATACATACATAAAATTATTACGTTATATAATATTATTATTAATATATTATATATATGTTATACTGTTCATAAACTATGAATCAGCATCGAGAAATGTCTTTTATCTATATTAGGTTCAATGTGTGCTTAAAATAGACATGTCAATAATACCTACGATACAAGAAGTCTTTAATAAATTTAGCTTTGATTGCTATTGGAAAATAGATTTTTGTTGTGTGATCCAAATAATATTATTCTACAAAATGAACGCAGTTGAAAGCACAGTATATGAAGTAAATTTGCCAAATGTTTGCATTTGCCGATTAATTAATACTGACTTTGGAAACCAATTAAGTTCAATATGCGATTTGCATTGCATTTCATATCGACAGATTAAGCACAGAATCGATTACTAAAGGGAGTGTAGTATTTATCTTTAACTTGAATTATTAGGTTTTTCATCGAA